AGTCACATAGGCCTCATTTCTTTAGGAAACTTACGATTTAGAAGTCTGTCAAAGACGTACGTGCGTGTGTTCTGGGGATCTCAGAAAGCTTCCTGCAGGCTTATCTAAGGTTGTTGCTGTGTGAAGGGTGGCTGGTACCAGTTAGCTGCCTCCTCAGCCTGGTTCTGTTGTGTGCAGGGATCAAGGAATCCGACACGGGGCTGGCTCCTCCCGCCCTCTGGGATCTGGCTGCAGATAAGCAAACTCTCCAAAGCGAGCAGCCACTGCAGGTTGCAAGGTGGGTGCACTCTTCCCCTTTGCAGTAGAGATGTGTAGTGTTAAAAATGTCATTTCTAGCTTTAAAAAAAAAGTAAGGTGCATATTGAAAGTGCTTTTTACCATTGTGTTGCAAAAGAACAATGTTACGCATGATGATGTATTCTGTACCTCATACTGGTAATTATTCCTATAATTATTGTCTGATGCTATAATGATAGAATCACAAGTACTACAGCTATTTTGGTGTGTTTGGAAAATGCGACTCTTTCATCTTGATATTTATACAACTAGTGAGCCAGTTGGTCTGTCTGCTCACTGGTGTTAATTGTGTGTTCCGCATTAGGTGTACAAAGATCATCAATGCAGACTCCGAGGATCCCAAGTACATTATCAATGTCAAGCAGTTTGCCAAATTTGTGGTGGATCTCAGTGACCAGGTGGCACCTACTGACATAGAAGAAGGGATGAGAGTTGGGTAAGCAAAATCTTTGTGTTCTTACGAGTTTTACTGGAGACTGAAGCCGCCTCATCTGATCATTAGTTTGCTAGGTCAACAACTATCATTTCATATTTTTTCAGTGGTTGAAATTGTAACAATAAAGTCTTTCTGTTGGAAGAGAGTAACTCACCCACATGTTGTGCTGGAATCTTTTGATGTCACCTCTCAGTTTGGGTCTCAATATCCCAGCTTTCCAGCAGCCTGCGTAGGCCGCTTCCCCTTTGGCAGCCTGCACAGTTACACACAGGGTGGCTACAGGAAATGTTCACTGAGGAGGTGAAGACTGTTACTTTTTAGAATCAATATTTTGCCAGTTTGCTCTGTGGGATATTTTGAAGTTTAGTTTTCAAAATACTTTGGAATTAATATTTTTGGAAACCTTAAACTCCTCTGCAGAAGGAATTCCAGTTTCTAGCCCATCTGACTATCAGCTTTAAGGGCTGGGCTCTCTTGATGCCAGAGAAAAGAACAGTTTAAAAATTCAGGTTGTAATTCACAGAGGTGTTTCTACATGACGGTTTAATTAACCGATGTTAAAATAATAGTCTTTATGCTTTCCCACCAGGGTGGACAGAAACAAGTATCAAATCCATATCCCTTTGCCTCCAAAGATTGATCCCACAGTCACCATGATGCAAGTGAGAACTGCTTTTACTTATTTATGACATTGCTTTGTCTTGTAATTTGTATTCCTTTGGCTGGATTTTGCTGTGGGCTCTCAAAAGCCCAGAGAGATACGCAGCATCGTTAACTGCTCGCTCGCCTTTTTGTTGTGCAGGTAGAAGAAAAACCAGACGTCACTTACAGCGATGTTGGTGGCTGTAAAGAGCAGATTGAGAAGCTGAGAGAGGTGGTTGAAACCCCTTTGCTCCATGTAAGTTACCTCCAGATTGATACTTTTATTATTTGGAAAGTTTCCTGGTCATCTGTTAGCATTTGAAAAAGCAAGAAAAGATAATGTAGCTGAGTGTAAACACCAAAGTGAGAGGAGCTCTAGTTTTAAGAAGTGTAATCCAGCCTGGTTTATATTGCTCCTCGCTGATGATTTTCTTAATTTGCATGTACTCTTTGATGCACATAGTTTTCAACTTACCCTTATCTTACCTTTTGTTTCCCACCATTCCAGCCTGAAAGATTTGTTAACCTTGGAATTGAGCCTCCCAAAGGAGTACTGTTGTTCGGGCCACCTGGTACAGGCAAAACACTCTGTGCCCGTGCTGTTGCTAACAGGACGGATGCCTGCTTCATCAGAGTCATCGGATCCGAGCTGGTGCAGAAGTACGTGGGAGAGGTAGGAGCAAATACTGCATGGAGTGTGGAGTCACCTGCAGGTTCCCAGTCTGGGGATCAGGCACGTACTCACGTGCCGGAGGGACAGGAGGGGAGGGGAACTGTCAAACAGGTCACTGCAGATCAGGCAATCAGTAGAAGACCCAAATTTTGCTGTCATCAGTGAGATGGATTTTGCAGTGCAGAGTTTAATCTGCAGGTTGGGAGGACTCTAGGATCAGAATTCTGCTCCTGACTCTGCCACTTATTTTTCATTTGGCTCTGAGGTAAAATGACTTCATCTGTACTTCTGAATTTGAGATTGGTGATTTCTCCTCTATAAATTGCTGTAAGGTTGATGAGTATTCTGTTATACATACGTGTGCAAATAAGAGTTTCATCATTGGAAACTCAGAAGCGTTTGGAAATGTGAAAAGTTTCATTTTCAGTTTTCCTTTAATGTGCCTTGAATCTGTAACAAAATCCTGATTTTTGCTTTCAGGGAGCTCGAATGGTTCGTGAACTCTTTGAAATGGCCAGAACTAAAAAAGCTTGTCTGATATTCTTTGATGAAATTGATGCTATTGGAGGTACGTTTGCAGTATGTGCAGCTCTAATCTTGTACGAGATCTAGCAGATGTTCTTTTCATGTTGTAATTCTTTATCTGTATTCCTGCATTTCAAGCAATGTGCTTGCAAATACCTATTTAGTGAAATTACTGCCAGCATGCCCCATGTCTGGGAAGTTATCAAGAAGTGGTTTATGTACTTTGAACATATTTAGTCCAGGTGAGAATTGATTTTTGGATGTTTGGAACACCCAGATTATTTAAACTTTAGTGAAGAATCTCTGTGTTGTCTTTGCAAAATCTAATTTAATGTTAATTTAAACCCCCTTCAGCTTCTGGACTACTACATACTAAATCTTTATTACTGCCTCGAAATTAAATTATTTTTTTCTTCCCAAAAGATTTACTTAAGTTCTTTGAAAGTAGAACAATTTTTACACAGACAAGGTGGGGAAGGTATTTTGGTTGAGAGGAGGCAAAACAAACTAACAAAGGATATTTATAAATTTAATCAGCTTGGCCTGTTACTAGGCAGGGAGACAGGCCCTTTCATGCTAAGGATGAAGATACGGTGCCTGTTTTAACTGACAAATATCTAACGTTGTTCTTCTTTTGAAATGTGTCATTTTCAAATAACCCCTCAAATATTGGGATGTAATTTGAAATTATTTTTCCAGGTGTCTTCTGTGTAGCAGCTGTGACACCTCCTCGTTGCCCTGAAGGTCCTTCTCTTATTTTGTGAAACGTGTGTGTCTCCTCTCCCCAGGTGCTCGTTTCGATGATGGGGCTGGGGGTGACAACGAAGTGCAACGCACGATGCTGGAGCTGATCAACCAGTTGGATGGTTTTGACCCACGAGGCAACATCAAAGTGCTGATGGCCACGAACAGACCCGATACGCTGGATCCAGCCCTGATGAGGCCCGGCAGGTTGGATCGGAAGATAGAGTTCAGCTTGCCCGATCTTGAGGTGAGCGTGCTTACTATGTTCTGGTTTCTGAGTGTTTCTTCAGTTAGGGCATTATTCTCTGGAAGCGATTAACGACAGTTAACAAAAGCAGCACTTTTATGTGAAACTTACGTGAAAATGGAAATTTGGGGGGGATTAAAGATGTGCCCAAAAGGTTTTCCCACGCTGCACAGGTTCCATGGTAAATATTCACTGTATATTCCTGACTCAAGAGATAAAGAATCCTTTAACTGGCTCCGTGATTTAGTCCTTAAATTGGAACGTGGTTTGTTGGGCTCTTTTGAGAGAGATTTCTTGAGGTACTTGTACCATTAAAGCTCTTTTTAAATATTTTCTAAATTAGTATCACGGACACTTAAAACATGTTCGTCCAGAGGCAGGAAGCTAGCTGGGCAGCCAATAAAAGCTGTGTTTTCTGTCGGCCCCACTGTGTGTGCTGACAGCTGCACGCTGAGAGCCATCACCTCTTCACAGCACCAACACTCCTGTCCTCCTCTCCTTTTCCAGGGCCGGACTCACATCTTCAAGATCCACGCTCGTTCCATGAGCGTTGAAAGAGACATAAGGTTTGAGCTGCTGGCCCGGCTGTGTCCCAATAGCACAGGTGAGCTGATTTTCTTGATTCTTAACCAGTTTTGTGTGTGCTTCACCCCCACTGGCGGTGAGTGTTGAATTGGTTTGTCCCTCTCTTTCCAAGGCGCTGAGATCCGCAGTGTCTGCACGGAGGCAGGCATGTTTGCCATCCGAGCACGGCGGAAAATCGCAACCGAGAAAGACTTCTTGGAAGCAGTGAACAAAGTCATTAAATCGTACGCGAAATTCAGTGCTACCCCCCGCTACATGACCTACAACTAATACCTTGGAATGGTTTTCCTGTTGGTAAACTTCCCCTGAAACAAAAATCTAAGTGTAGTAATAATTCCTCTCTTGTTCTTGGAAGGTAGAAATAAAGGGAATGTTCCTAACAGTAGGTGTGAGTCCATTATGAGTGTGTTGCACGGGAGTGGGGAGTATTCTGCTGTAGAAAAAATCTCAGTGAGATTCTAGTAACAGCCTAAACCTGCGAGGTGTTTGTAAGAAAGTGTCAGAAACCCCAAGGTAAGATGCCTTGTCACCCTGTACGTCCCAAAACGTGTCCTTTGGGCTACTGAGGTGCTGAAAGATCCCGAAATGCTGGCAGTGTTTCTGGGTGTGCTTGGAGCACTGACAAGCCAAAGGTAGGATTGACATTTTTAGGGAGCAGTGTGTTAGTCAGTAGTGGGAAGAGGAGATCAGTTGACTTGTTGGTAGGTAACTCAGGCTGGCGTGTAGGAAGCGGTGCTGCATCATCCTGAGGCCTGGCCTAGAGAGGAGCAGGAGGGTGAGGAGCAGGGACCCGCCTGGAGGTGGTAACCCTGTCCAGCCCACCCCTCAGTGACAGACACCAAGACAAAGTGGAGAATTTTGCCAAGTGACGGCCATCACTTTATTTTAGAAGGTGACAGGACTGTGATGTGAACTAGAGAGACTATATAGTTAAAAACTGAAGCTGCGACAAGCTGAAAGTAGAAAAATATACTGTATGTAGATACAAAGGCTTGTTAAACTAGTTAACGATAGAAAATGTACCAAGAGGTGTTTAAATAAACACGCACAATGTGTTACCGTGCATTCAATTCACCCTTTGAACTCAGCTAAGCAGTAATTTCTGATGCAGAAAGCTTCCTATCCCTAGTGGCAGGGGAGTCATGAGGAAACAAAACATCTTCCCCGACTACCCCCCGTTCTTGGGAAACTTTACCTGAAGCAAGCCCTAATTGCACCAGAGCTTGAAGCAAAATAAAAGCATAAAGTTCTGCATCCAGAAGAGAGGAAGTCGTTCCAATTCCCCTGTGCACCGGGCCTTCGATTTGAGGGTGCTAGATGCAATGTCACTGATGCCCCAGTGCCCCTCTGCCATCAAAATCACCTTCCCAAAACCACTTGGAGGTTCCTACCTCTGCCCAGCCTCATAGCGACTGCTGTTAGGGCAGGACCTGGGAAAATACAGGCATTGAAGGGTCCTTTCTTTTGCTTGAGTTACATTTCCAGGGTTTTGTCTCCCAGACGAAGTTCAGCAGCAGCACAGCAGCCAGGCTGTGAAGACAACAGGAAAAAAAAACAACAAACCCACACCTGTTTCTTTTAAAAACCCAAACGTAACATTTTTGAGTTCTGTTGAGTGGAGGTTCCTACCTCTGCCCAGCCTCATAGCGACTGCTGTTAGGGCAGGACCTGGGAAAATACAGGCATTGAAGGGTCCTTTCTTTTGCTTGAGTTACATTTCCAGGGTTTTGTCTCCCAGACGAAGTTCAGCAGCAGCACAGCAGCCAGGCTGTGAAGACAACAGGAAAAAAAAACAACAAACCCACACCTGTTTCTTTTAAAAACCCAAACATGTAACATTTTTGAGTTTCTGTTGAAATCTATTTCCCAAAGAACTTAAAAGCTGAGGCAACCCACACCTGTTTCTTTTAAAAACCCAAACATGTAACATTTTTGAGTTTCTGTTGAAATCTATTTCCCAAAGAACTTAAAAGCTGAGGCAGGAGCAGCGCTGCTGGTGGGAAGGTATCTCAAGCAACAGAAAAGTATTTATCTTTTTTTTGGTTTTTTTTTTTGATCATTGAGACTTTAGACCTTGTCTATTATTATTATTGTTCCAGCTTAAAAGATTGTATACAGGGCATCAGGTCTTCATTTAAATAGGCTTCACTCCTGCCTTAAACTAGTTTTGTCTTGAAACATTGAAGCTAAACTAATTTTAGCTTCAAATCAACTGTACTCTTTTCCACAAAGCATAACTAGGTTTTGGCAGTGAAACCGTAATATTGATAATGTAACAATTAATCAACGAGTTTCTAATTTGGAGTTTAGAGGGAAAGCGTTGAGGCAGCGAAGAATTGAGTATAGCTGAGACAGGTCAGGTGTTTTAAAAAAATAACTGTACCATCTAGGTTTAAAAAGAGCAGCAGCTCAATGCCACCAGTGGGAATTCCTTCCTCCAGCTGGCAGACTCTTATAATTCATACGAATCTGTTGTATGCAGATGTTGACATCAGGCTTTAAAAGTCATTTAAGAAAGTTCTTTAAAGACACTGGTACAGTGCATCGCAATTGCAGAACAGTTATTTCCTGCAAGATCCCACCTCGCAGTGAGTTAAAGTGCCCATTTTCTCACCAGGAACAGGAATGTCACCTTGTCTATCAGATTCCGATTGTAGCAGAACACACTGAATTGTCTTGTCTTGCATAATTTTGTGCTTGTATGTCGTTGGGAGGCTATACCCTGATCGAAGGAAAAACAATTCAAGAGCATGAAGGCTTCCCATTCCTTATCCACATTTCCTACAGAAAAGCAGCACCGCCCTATACCCGTAGATACAAACAGCCTCAGGCTCTCTTTAAACTGTGCAAATTAAATATTCAGAAAGAGTCTCCACCGGCACAAATCTGGCTTCTGTTCTGCTGGGTGCCACCCCTCAGAGCTCAGCGTCAGCCTGCGAACCAGACCCGGCTTTCTCTTGGCAAGCGAGGACGGCGTCGTGAATACTGTGGAACAGCCACTCTCTTGTCACAGTGGTATCAAAAAAATTCAGTCTCGTCAGCTCACTCGTAACAGGGGCTACAAAACAAAAACCAAACATGGCATCAGCGCAGAAACCCAAGTGCAAAGAGGGAAGGCAACTGGAGCTCAGGGAGAAGTGGACAACTTGTTCTCTTACTTAAAGCGTGTGAAATAGCCAGGTGGATCACACACTACTTCTGCTCCCAACGGGGAATTCTCTTATCTAGACCTACACAGAGGCCTGCTCCTGGCAGAAGATGCTACAATTCCAAATATCAGAAACTTGGAACATTGCAGGCTTTTCTCCTTATTACATTATTACAATAATTTCAACATAGAAAGTTTGGTGTGGCATTTACAATCTGCCAGCTGGAATGAAGGGGAGCAGGACCCAGTCCCCACAGAACTCATGTCAGCGCTCTACTTTCACTAAAGTGAAGGCTCTAATACATATGGGCTTGCTTTTCCTCAAATCCAATTTTAATCCAATTTTAAGTAAAGTAAGTGCTGATACTACTGAGGCACCTGCAGCAGAAAATTCGGAGCCAGAGGTAAAGAAATAAAACAGAGTCTCTTCCATAAAAAAAAAAAAAAAAAAAAAAAATCCCAACTCACCACTACAGCTGGCAATACAGACACGGACACCAACTTCTTTGTATTCCTTTATAATCTGCAACAGAGTTAAACTGAAGTTAAACACAGGTCTATCACGTAGCCATCCCAGTTCTGGGAGATGTAAGCCAGTTACCGTGCAAGCTGCACCCTCCACATTCCCCAGTATCCAGCTAAAACTTGCAGAGCTCCAGAATTAAAACTGTGATGAGGTGAGCTACTGGATTGTGTTTGAGCTGGCATTTACATCTCAGGCTGACAGGTTCCCTATTAGGTATCCCCCAAGTTTTCTATGGGGTTTTCTGGGAAAAAAAAAAAAGCCCTACTTACTGATTTTAATGTTTTTGCTCCAACTGAATCCACAAAGTTCACGGGGGTGAAATCCAGAATTAGAGAGTGGATGTTTGGTTTGGGCTCCACAAAATGTTCTTGCTCATCGGGAGACATGTCTTCTACGCTCGCCTCTGCAAAGCTTCCGTTTACAGGTAACTCCTCATTTGCTATCTCATGTTTTACACTTGCTTCCACGTCGTTACTCTGGGAGAGAAGATAAATAAAGCTTAATGACAGCCACTGCTTTTTCAGTGTAGATCCCCTTCCCCCCATACTCATCTGTTCTTTCAGCCTTTAAAAGGAGCACAGCTCCTGGCCATGACAGAAGCTGGTTTCACACACACACATACTTCTGTATCTTACGTACATTAAGGTTTATTCTCTTCTGCCCGGCCTCTCTACAGTCACACGAAGCAGCTCAAAGCTGCTTCACAGGAGTGAATCACCCATTTCCTTCAAACACTGACACCTGTTCAGAGGTTTTGACTCCATTGCCTTGCCTTATTCCTGCTGATCCTGTCAAGGCCTATATATTTAAAAGAAGCAACAACCACCAGGCTCTTAAGTCAGGCATTTGGTTTGCTTCCCATGGTAAAAGGCACCAGCTCCCTGCATGAGGGTGAATTTAAACATCCACAAAAGCACAAACTTTTGTGCTTCTCAGCGTGCCTGCCTCACGTAACCAGGCCAAGATCAGCAGTGCAGACAGCACCTTTTTATTACAGGAGCTGCTAATCTGAGTTAATTTTATTATATCCTATTCCTGCATGATTATTCCAAGGGCGTGGGGAGGGGCAGAGGCAGGGTCCCCCCCAGTTTCTGCTGCCAGCACTGCAGTGTGGCAAGGCTCCGCTCTGCTTTGTGCTGCCTGAACGTAACCACAGCTCAACACAATTACCCAGTCCAGCCACGAGCCCCCGGTCCCTAACGGCGCTCCCTCAGCAGCCTCCCCACACCTACCCGAGTGGGATGCTGGGCCTTGTATAAACAAGCATGGTAACACCAGAAAGCAGTGTTAGCTGATAAAACAGAGGTCAATATTTACCGAAGAATTCACTAGTTTCAATACAGCTTTCTTTCTGAGCGCGTTTGCCTTCTTCATTTCCCTGGCGTGTCTCTTCTGGGCTTTTCTCCTCGCTGCTAGTATGGCACAAGGGTCCACTCCAGTCTGTTATGAAAAGAAAGCACAATCAGAGGAGATTCAGCTTGTTATGCCGACATTGCGGTATCAATTAGCACTGAATTCATCATTGACATTAAATTTAAAACACAAGCCTATGTTATTCAGCTTCCTTTGGTGGGGGTGAGGACAGTATAAAGTAAGAAGGCATAATCTTGGCAAGCACTGTGTTAACAAGAAGAGGAAGGGATGCATCACATTCTTTTCTTGAAATCAGACAGTGCCACGTTCCGACCAGACGCTGATTGGAGTGCAGGGAGCAGAGGGGGGAGAAGTGCATTTGGCCATAAATCGCTGATACCTCTTGCTCGGTGAAGGAAGCACCACCCACCTGTTTGGTACAAGACTCATCATGGGAGCTACAGAAAAATTGTTCACAAGTTAGTGAGGGGGCAACTGCCACGGGGTCAGGCCGTTCTGCCCTTAGAGCTAGTCCTGGTACTGCCATTCCCACCCAGTCAGACACGGGTCAGACAGGAGGCGAGGCACACTCTTGTGTGCAGGCAATGTGTTGCTCATGAGAGACACTGAATGCCCACAGGATTCCGTGGTCTTACACTCCAGTAAAGACTCTCATCCAAGAAGGAAGCTTTTACTTCCATACATTTTGTTTTCAGTTCAGCAACTACTTATTTCCTTCTGGAAAAACAAAAAAGTGTTTGACCAGTTTGTGCCCTGCAACCACCAGACTTTCCACTCAGAAGTGGTGAGTATTAAGCTACACTTCATCTGTTTATTCCCTTCCACTATGTAGTTGCCTCCTAAGATGAGCTGCAGTTGGCTGGAGGGTCACCTTCTCATATTTTACTGATCACCAGGTGCCACAGGCTGAGAAACACTGTGCTAAGGGCTACACAAAAGGGGCTGAAAGATGAGCATGTTTCAGAGACAGTTTGAATTTTCAAGACACAGACATTAAAGAATTTTCTTTACTCACCTTTTTCTTCAGTGCACTTGTGTAAGACTCGCTATTGGCAAAATAAAGTGATGCATTAGCTTGAAATATTTTTATTCCAGGATATTCTCTAACCTAAGGAAAAGAATATTGGATTTGCACAGTTAAGTATTGCCTGCACTAGAAGAAAAGCCCCTGTGTGATCACAAGGCACATGAACATGCAGCCCAACAGCCAGCCCTGACTGGCTATCAGCACGTGTCAGACAAAGAGGGTCAGCACTGTCACGAGCAAAGACAACCAGAAGATGGGAACCTCCACCTCTCCTGGTGTAACCCTGCACACAATCAATGCCATGTAACATTTCTCCTTTCTCCTCATTCTCTCCTACAGCCATAAAAAGGCATTAGATAATTGCAGTTCTCTGATGTTGCTTTCTGCAGCTGGTATTACCATGAGGAAATCGATCTAGGAATGCTTCCTTTTAGCCTGCCTTTCTAGAGGCATAATGACATATCTCTCTTTTTCTGTGTCTCTTTTTGTTTCCTGTCTCCTCAGGTACAAAAAAACAGCCTTTCAAATCTCTGTTTTTAAACAGGCCTTCAGATAAGTCTCAATATCATTTCTTCCCTCTACTTTAAATGAAGTAATCTCTAAAACAGGCTGCACTCTGACATTTTACACATAAACGACCTGGCCAGCAACAGAGCCCCAGCTGCCATATGCTGCAACCCCGTGTTTATACAGGAGGAGGAAATGCCAACTGCCCTCAGTGTAACAAACACAGAGGCTCCTCTTCTTTGAGTAGAGCTATAAACATGCCCACAAATACTTCTGATTTGTATCATATTGAAAGCAGAACTGCTGGTTAGTTTTCAAATTACAGCATTGTCTTTTCCCATAGGTTTTTACAGACTGGTTCCTTAGTAAAGGGGGATGTGGCCTTCACAGCAGCATCTCTGAGAACATGGCAGAGAGCACAGAAAATTGTAGTTGCTGTTTGTGAATAAATACAGCATGTTTATACCCATTATATTGACAACATGTACTGCTTTCGCCAACTTTTGGTTGAACAAAATGGCATTTAGAAGCAGCTAAGTGCATGGCAAGCAATTATGCCATTGACGATGCATAATTAATGAGCAGGGGATGGGTGGAGGTAGGGAGATGCTGTTTAGAACAGTTTGTGCAATTCTGAGGAACAGATCAGTTTGGATCCTGGATTCCATGGGTTTCATGCAATACTGCCACAGAAGTCAGGAAGGAGGCCTTGTATGCACCTATGTACATCACAGGTTTAGCACTGGTATTCCTATAAACCTTACCATTTTGTATGAGCTAGTACAATGGAGCTAGTATAGAAGTTACTTTTGATCACCTGCTGGTGAAACGTACATGCAGCACAAACTTTTTGGACAAAACAGCTTTTACTACTAAAATCAAATTTCTTTCCTTTCAACACAGGTGAATGCCAGGCAGACAGCACTGTATGGGCAGTATCGTAGGGCTAAGCAGCAAACTGCCACAGGCCTCTTTGCTCCACTACATAAAGCTCTTCAGAAGAGAAGAGCACACTCCTACCTCTTCGTACTCTTCCACGTCACAGTAGATGTCAGTGCCACGGATCTGACCAAGGATTCTGTATTGAGGGCTAGAGAGGAAAGGAAGCAAATGTTTCAGTATTAGCACTTATAAAGTGGAAAAGCAAGTGTTCAATACAGATTGAAACATGTTAAATGGTCCCTCTGCAGTGCCTGTCTGGTACTGGCTTATCTAAACGTGGTCAAATGCAGTGGACAGTTTATGGCAGGAACATAATAAAGGGGCCATTTGGTGTCGAGGCAAGTTGGTTTCTCTCAGTGCAAAAACAATTAACAAAAACTTAGCAGCGTAATGTTGTTGCCTTCTGAAAAGCATGGGCCAAAACATGCAAAGTTACAGGGCAAATTCTCTTCAGCATGAACTAGTGAAACTCATAGTAACAGCAAATACGCTGCCATTTCAAAGAGCTACTCTGCTCCCAGGACTGTGCCTGACCAGATGAATATTCCCAACTCTCAAGCAGCATGACAGCAAGATACATTACTGTTCTGTTTGCAAAAACAAAACCATATAGAGATGGCAGAAAAATACTACTATTTATGCAGAGTGTAAACCTCAGAATTTGGTTTCTATACAAAATACAATTATATATATACCAAATACAATTTTTTCTATACATTTTCCACCTAAATATCCCAGACCCTCAGCCTGGAAACCTCACGATAGTCCTATCCACACGTGTAAGAAATCATTTCACCATAGACCTAGAAAGCTCCACAGTAAAAGCTTTGTCACTTTGAATGGGGAGAGAGGAGAAGTGATTTGAAGAACTAGAAGGGCAGGCACAATTTTCTGATGAATTAGAACTTTCTTATAAAATACCTAGTGATAACCTGACACAATTCCTGCTCGATTGTAACAACTAGTGCACAAAAAAATGTAATAATTTACTTGAACTAGCATCAAGCAGATTTGAAATTCTAGACATTTGAAACTCTAGACATTAAAAAAAAGTAAACACGAAGATTAATCAATGTAAGAAATCAAAATTCTTCTGTTTATTATTGAAATTACAAGTTCGTGCCCTCTAGAAAGTCTGTTCTCACAAAAATAAAATATGAACCCTGGATCAGAGCCATGAAGCATGACCTACATTATGAAGCAGGTTCTATACTGTACACAGCTGAAGAGGGTGGAAAGGTCTTCTACTTATTTGCACCCCTTAAGCAAACAAAAGCACACAGAAGATCAGCAAACACTACTTTTGATAAAGAAGAAATCTGACCTTTGTGTTCTGTAAATAACGGTTATCATTGCAAACGCTACTGCAGTAAGCAAACCATAGTCTAGTCCCAGGAAAAGAGAAGCCACAAAAGCTACCACCCAGATGGCCTAAAACAAAGAAAAGCTCTGAATTATTATGCATCCGTTCTTGTTAACAGCAAAAACAATAGCATATTTCAACCTCAAAACCTATGTATCACTTCTGTTCAGGAATAGGCTGCAATGTAATACATCATGACAGCAAACTGTAATCACCTTAACCTTTCAAAAAACACATAAAAGCTCAAGGCACACTAACATAACATCTAACAAATGGTCACATATTAATTAATGCTGTTCCTGTTCTCCTCTGTTACCAGCAGACCCCAAACACCTTAGAATAAAAAAATATTCAAGGCCTGTAAGTAGCTCTCACTTACTTCCATCAGCCAGTTAATCCAGGAGAAAAATGCCACCGCAACGTTCTCTCCGATACATTCTTAGCTCTGGCCCACTCCAGCCACGTTTTTGATATGTCTTAAAAGATGGCAAATACCTTCAAGTAGTTTCCTTTGTCACTCTGTTTTTCAAATTATTCTCAGACATTCTCAGAGCTTTCAGAGCAGTTCCTATAGCAACACTGCAAAAGCTTTGCTTTTACTGCAACCAAACTACTTCTGACCCGAGTTCAAGGTTGTTGAACAACAACAAAAACACTGTTGTCTGCAACAGGTTGCTCTCCTGGGGTATACTTACAGCTCCATGTCTTGTGTTCATCAGCAATGCAACACCAAATTATAACTCTTGGGTAAGTTTCTGCCCTGTTTTGGGGGTTAGGAAGAAGAGGAGCAACAGATTTAATGCAGTAAAATATACGCACCGAGCTGTGCATTACTCACCAGCTCAATCTTACTGGTTCTCCAGAAGTGCGCAATATCTCCAAACTGTTTGAACATTCCTTTCAGGTTCACCATGACAATTGCAGCGAGCACCGTCTAAGAAGATTACACAAATGCAATTTTCAGATGCAAAACAAACCTAATGCCAAGTAAGAACTTCAAGGCACCACAACTGTATTTCTCTGCTCTGTACTGAAATAACTCTACTGAACACTTGTTCCATTAAAAAAACCCCTAACTTTTCAAGTAGTTCAGTGGAGACATGCTTTTACTCCAGCTGCAGAAACAGCAAGCCAGAGTCACTAGAGTTTGATTTACTCTTTCCTGGCAAGAGAAACCACGTATTTCTGAGCTCATGCTGCTGCAATTATAGTGCCCGTAGTGCCTGAAGCAGCTAGGCTATAATCTCAAATTCAAGTTTCTCTACAATATACTGCAAACAATTCCTGCAACAGTCCTATGGGTGTAACCCCAGGTACAGGAAATGCATATCATCCTATGCATGTCACCAGAAATGAAGTCAGATTATATTCATTCACGTAAATACATTTTTATAAAACTAGGTAAAGCTGCAGCAAAACCAACTCATTATGCTGAGCCATCACCCAGCCCAAACCCTTTCCTAGCTGAGCTATTATTTCTTTTAACTTTTTAACCTCTTCCCAGAACTCCTATGCTGCAATCAAATGGGGTCAGCAGGACTAGGGAAGTGACTGTCCCCCTGTACTTGGGACTGGGGAGGCCACACTTCAAGTCCTGTGTTCAGTTTTGGGCCGCTCACTACAAGAAGGACGTTAAGTTGCTGGAGCATGTCCAGAGAATGGCAACAAATCTGGTGGGGGGTCTAGAGAACAAGAGCAGCTGAGGGAGCTGAGGTTGTTTAGTCTGGAGAAAAGGAGGCTGAGAGGAGGCCTTATCGCTCTCCTACAACTACTTGAAGGAAGGTTGTAGCCGGGTCATGGTCTCTTCTCCCAAGTAACAGGCAATAGGACAAGAGGAAATGGCCTCAAGTTGCACCAGGGGAGGTTCAGATTGGGTATTAGGTAAAATTTCTCCACTAAAAAGAGTTGTCAAGCATTGGAACAGGCTGCCCAGGGAAGTGGTTGAGTCACCATCCCTGGAGGTGATTAAAAGATATGTAGATGATGTGTTGAGGGACACGGTTTAGTGGTGGACTTGACAGTGTTAGATTTACAGTTGGACTTGATGATCTTAAAGGTCTTTTCCAACCTTAATGATTCTGAAGGGGAATTGTTTGAATGTATCTTTTATTATGTCCTTAAGACAGAGTCCTCCAGAACATCCAATATTAACAACAACAACGAAAAGCATGCTGGACCCTTCAAAACATTATACATTTCTAGTCTAACTTAGAGCATTCAAAATGTAAAGGTTTCTGGACCAGCGCCTAACTGTGTTGCCTACTAATCATCCCACAATCTCTACTTTAAGCAATACTCACTGGCCTCTGTTCAGTGACAATGACAATGTCAGTGACATGACAACGCCTAAGAGGCAAAACCCCCTTACCTGTGGAAGCGGTTCAAAGAGGTATCCAATAGCCACAATTACCAACAGAACCATAATTGAAGAGAGAGCACCTGCAATCTGAACAAAAGAAGCCAGAAATTAATTTGTAAGTGTCCCCAAAGGGCAGTATTACTGATTAACTAACCCCTCCCATGCTTTCCACAAGGCAGGTTGCTCTTTTCATCCTTCCCACTCATTCATCCATTTTGGCTGTTGTGCAGCTTTTTACCCTGGCCCAATTCGGATTTGGAAGATGGGAAACTACAGTTATTCCTTCTGGCCCAGGCAGAGAAATCTGGCAATCTAGTGAAGCTTCAGACTTTAGCTTTGGAGCTCCAAAAAGCAAACTTTTTTGGGGCAAAATTTGGGTTTACATACCTGAGTTTTCCCACCGGTGCTTTCTTGAACAAGACTCCGAGACATTGAGCAAGTGATTGAAAAGCTTTGGAAAAATGACCCCACAAAATTGCATATTCCCAAGGCAATAAGTTCCTGTGTTAAATAACAGAGCAAAAGAAACGGCAGTTATGCCTAGCAACTGCACAAAGCTGGAGTTATCCATCCTTATTAATAACCACATCTATTTACAGTGCCTCATAGCTACCTTACTGTAGAGAATAAGCACCCTTATTGTAGCTTATACTTGTGGTTCTTACACATGCGCAAGTTGATGCATGTTAAATCATCAGTTAAATAAAGTATCCGATGAAGTGCCAAAGACATTTCTCATCCTTAAATGTTGCAGTAATGAGTCAGCCTGAAAACTGAAATGAATGACAACATTGCTTGTTTTAAGGACTTCTTCAACTTGGGGATAGCTTGATTTTTAACCCTGAATAGACAAAGAAAATGGTTTGTCATACCAACTCTTTGCTTTCCCCCTAAACTGTCTGTTTAGTACCATTAGAACCAAGAGCAGCTGTGTTTCCATTGGCTGTGTTGCCAGACACCAATGGGTGATAATCCATTGCTGTACATGCAAATAACAATATGTCTCCACCGCTTCAACAGGAAGATCTCACATGAGAACTGTTACTGTGAGTGAGATCAGAGCTCCATCTACCTTTGTATTGTGTTTCTGACACCTAAGAAAGTATTCGCTTGTAATGAGGACTCCCCAGGCTACTCTGCATCCTCCTATTTGTAACTGAGGTGATTTGAGTTATACATTTTCAATTGTTCTCAATGAGTTTCTCCTCTTTGCAAATGTACAATCATTTTTGCTTCATTTAAACACTCAGCATGCACTGCATCCTGTTTGATAGTTTAACATCCAGGTGAAGTAGCATCTGGCACCTCCTGAGGAAAAGATCTAGATGCTTAACTTGGGTGAGTGATGATTACTTTAACTAATGTAAATAGCGCTGATTCCATTCATGCAGCCATGGATTTGCCCTCTTCTCTCTTTGGGTAACACAGAACAATGACATGAAGGATGAGATTCCTCTGACCAGATGTAAAATTCTGTAGATAAAAGTCAATTAAACTCCATTTACTCTCAGAGGAAGACAGCTGTTTTGAGAAGGGGGAACAGCTGATCTGTGCTGCATCTGATGCTTGCTGTAGGAAATGAATTACAGCTTACGAACTCTCTGTCTCCCTTGACACCACAATGGTATCAACCAATAATCCAATTGCAATATTGATTCTAAATTGCACAGGAAGGAGGTAGGTAGGTGAGGTTGACATATCGTTTTAGAGGGTCCTTTAACTACAGCCTTTGTCACTGACATCATGATGAGAATGCTAACTATGGACAGGGCTGATTGCTGCCCCAAGAAATGATGAGCTACTTATTTGCAATGGGTGGAAATAAAAAGAAACTATAAAACATAATTGGAATTTCTAAACCTTTGATAATAGTTCTTTGACACGTAAGGGCATTGTATTTATCACATGGGAACACCATGTTTTGCTCTATTACAGAAGGCAGAGATAAAATAGCTGCCCATCAGGACAGCAGGCTCAGTAACGTCTGTCCCAACAATTAATATTCATGCATACGTCCAAGTCAAACAGAAGCAAGGTGCCCAAAATTAAGCTAAAAGTGAAACTGGTTATTAAAATACAGCCAGAACTTAAAATAATTCCTGGTATTTAAACATGTAGGCTGTCAAAAACCTGATCTGATTCCACTATGAAAGAAAAACTCATTTTTATCCAGGATCCCATTCTGCTTTAACGATGTAACAAAGGTGCTACTGAGAATTTTCAACAAAGCAACCCCAATACTTTTACCTGATTCCCATCAATGGTGTAACCATGTTTAAGGGCAAAGATCTTGGCCATTGATACAGCCATCGAAAATCCAACTATGGCTATAGCTATTGCATCCACAAATATTGCCGGGATGAGCTGAATATCAGGAACTGCTGGTGCACGTAACCTTGGAGAGAAAATAAATATTTTAAAATTGTTACAATAAAAGCTACATGTCATTGGAAAAGGTATAGTTTGAATAAGAATATATCATCCTTACCCTTGAGGAATATTCCCAACAACATCCACTCTGTATGACTCACTCAGGTTCATTCCAGCTGAAACTCCTGTGCCAATAATTACCTAAAAATCCACAAATACATATGTAAACATGAGCTAGAAAGAAATTAAGCATCCTGAAGAACTAACAGCAGTTAGCTGATTGTGAATAATACACACAAGGGATTACATTTATTTGTCAATCAGTTTTCTAAGAGTTTGCAGGGTAAAGAAGCAGATAAGAAGGAGGAAGTTATCATGATTTTATCTCCATCATGTTTAGCCTCCACTGATTTTATAAAGTTTTCTTGGAAACAGTTAAATGGAACATGCTATGGTATGATCTGAATCACTTGAATTCCCTTAGCCTGAGCCAAGCTCTGGCAGAATAGTGTACTGAGAAATTAAATGCAAGGACAAGCCAAGGACGTGTGTACTGCCACGTTTTCATGTGCATAACCTGCATTCTATCTGTAATGAGAACTGGTGCAGCAGCAGTGAAAGGAACAGGTGTAAGATCACTGTGCTGCTGCCTTACTATCAAACAATACCCTATTACACCACCTCCATCATCTCTCAACAGCATCCCTTTGCTTTGTTCCTTCTAGCTAGATTGTCCTCGTACCTCCAGTTATTGCCTTTCTCAGCTCTGATTTTGTGCAGGTTGTTTGAGAGCTCTAGTTATCCAGAAACTCATTTTTAAATCCAACCACTTTTAAAGGTGACAGGTTATCTGAGATGTGGGCTGTGTGCGTAGTAAGATAGTCTGCTTTATCCATGTATTTTAGAGTAGTCATTCGAAACAGAATCACCGCTGTGGCCAGTTATCAGTCTCAGAAACAGTGAAAGGAAGGTTAAGGAGTTAGTCCCACCAGTTCCTGCTCTTCTCTCCACCACTGCATTCTAAAAAGCAAGCAAGCCCTCAACAACCTCTGAAACAGGCATCTATAAGCACCTTCCTGCAGGAAGGGGGTCTAAACTCTTGGACTCCAAATGGGAAATTGCCACTCAGAGACATTGTCTTGAAGAGAATCATTCAGGGTGCCAAAACTCCAGGATAGGGCAGGTTTTACAACAAATCTCTACTTATCCATTGCCATAGAGAACAATGGGTGTTTAACTGGGTTTTCAATTCTTCTTTGGGACTTTATGCCTAAAACTTGGGTATGTCAGTCCTTAACTGTATTCAGCAGAAGTTACTCTAAAGCTCAACTAGACTCAATATAAAATTAGATTGTTTCTACAGCTTTAGAATAGTTACATAATTTAGCTAAAGAATTACACAAGTGGCTTACCACAATGATCTCCATAGGAATAGGAACTGGGAGCTTCTTCTTAAACCGGAGATTGATTTCCTTGCCGATCAACAATAGAACAATGCATGTTAATCCAACAATCAATGCAGCAATATTGGTCGTTGTTATTTTTGAAAGCACAGCAGCTATGCTCTGTAACACAACAGAAGTACCATAATTACTCCATGAAGATCATATTTGTTCAAATGAATTTATTTTCTTAAGAAATATGCCATGAAAGAGCAAATTATACACTACTGTTCAGCTGTGTTTTCATTCTGCATTTTAAAACCGCAGTGAATCAGTGCCTCATTAAAATCCCCATTGTTCCCACAAAACACAGTAGTTCAGAGTATCTCATTTACAACACCAGCCTTCCTCGAATGGGGCAAAAATTTAGAGGAAAAAACTCTCATGCGGGAAAAAGTCTAAACTAAACCACATCTTTTACCCTCAACATTTTCACACATTTTTCATACTGGCAGCCACCTGAAAGCAGTAAGTGCTAACCCCTTCTAATACCTTCAAATATTCTTTGGCAACTCACATCTACTTAGAGCTGCATAAATCATTCTAAAACGATAAAGCTGCTGATACAACCATTGAGGTTACCATAGCAATACGATTAAGTAACAGTGAACTTGCAACATTGCTGAACTGGCCATTATTCCAAATATCTTGTAGTTGAAAATGCTACTAAAATGGTGTTAGGAAAGAAAGCTTGCTGGAGCACACAAGTTGCTAGAGGGTAAATGATTCCCCTACCAAATACTACTCCTCCTTCTACTGCATTTAAAAAAAATAAAAATAAATGACTGGAGAGGTCATTGAAAGATGTACATACCTTCTTTAAAAAGAAGGAAAATTACAGTAACTATCATGATATTATACAGTCAAGACGTCTTGGCAGTACATCTTGAATGTATACCTTCCATCTTATTTGTTTGGCAGTTAGTATTTCTGACTTCCGGATTAGTGAACTAAACAGCAAATATAGGAATTAATCAGTGCAGCCTTGTTTCCAAAAGGTTTGTTCTATCTGCACAAATATACAAAAAAGATGCCCACAAAAATATTTTCTGTAGCCTCCGTGTAGTCGAGATCCTGAAGCTTCCTTATTGCTGAGCCATCAATCTGCTCAACAGCTTTTAACATATCTGAGATCTTCTCTGTTCTTCCACTCAGGATTTCTTGTCTGCAAAAATCAGAGCATCGATTTTGTGATAACAACTTGGGGCTTCCTAGACTGGCAGGCAGATCAGATTCAGCTGCATTTCAACTCTGCCTGTTCATAACAGCAAGAAAAATAATGCTCATATAAAGTTAAAAGCCTTGGTTGTGATTTCAATTAGAAATGTCCCTTTGAACAAGGGGAACATGAATTTGCTGCATGGGATCTACAATACATTTTTCAGAGCACAACTGTCAATTTTAAGTTCAAGTGAACAAGAGCTTTTGGTTTTGTTTAAGTCCTACTAGTCAAACCATAGCTTTACGCTGTGTGGTTTGTCTTCCGTCCTCTTGCATCTTTATGTGTTAGGCAGAAGGTGGAAGACTAGGTTATGAGCTACAGCAAATGCTGGATCTCTACACACTCTGAACAATCAGTTTTAATGCTTAGGGTCTTTGACAAATACCAATGTTTGACTCTGAGTGTCCTTGTTTCAAAATAGTTTTTCCCACTGCTCTAAGGAACAGGTACATTTACGATGACACAGCCCTTTGTGTCCAACCACACTACAGAAGAGCTTACAAACAGGAAATGAAGAATACTCCCATCAGAAATTGTGTGTGAAATTAAAGAAACAGAGACGGGGCAAGGTTCTGAGAACATTTCCTAGCTTTGCCAAACAAGTCTGGTCTACAGTGAGCCATTTTAGTAGCACATTTTCCCATGATGTACAAGAGACTTGCTTCAATGAACATGATGGGCAACATTATCTGTTAATTAATGCCATTAATGAGGACAACATTATCTGTTCATATTACAAAATTGCATTTAGCCGAATCCTAAAATCTGCCCATCTCAGACCACGCCAATCTATCAGGTTGCACCCAAGCTACACTTTAAGATGCTCATATATTGCTATGGCACTTAAGACCTCATCCCCAGTTTCAAATATTGAAGCATTATTCTACTTAGCCAAAATAATTAAAAAATAAAAAAAAAAAAGGAAAAAGCTTAATTACTAGATCCAGACAATGCAGAATGTACATGTTTAGTAAGTGTAATTACTCACATATACAACTGAGAGGGGTCCACTGTATCGGTTGGTCTTAATGCCAAGGAGATACTTTAATTGAGAAGTAAAGACATGAACCGCAGCAGCAGTAGTAAACCCTCGCACCAGCGGCTCTGTTAGATAGATGGCTACAAACCCAAATCGAAGGAGACCTAAACACAACTAATGAAGAAGAGAAATAGTAACCACGTGATTCCTGCTGTAGCCTGAACATCAGCACTATATAGCAGACAGGCCACAGGACACCTCTCACCATGATACCCAAGCCAGGTCAGGCAAACTCAAACTTGGCCTTTCTAAAGCCATAGTTCAGTAAGCAGCCACCAATGCACCACATCTGCCGTGCCACTGGCAGGTGGGATGTGGTACGTGGGTAAACATAGGTGTTTCTATGCATTTATGGACAGATTAGAGACCATCAGGTTGAGTTTTTCTGATGGAACAGGAGAAAATGAAAGGAGGGAGGTCCCATTTTTCCTCATCAGGCCAAGATGGCAGACAAAGACTTGCCTCCAATGTATCCCTCCCCACTTCTGTTACGTGGCTGGCATCAAGCAGCCTGTGATCTGCACAATGCAGCGCTGAAGCACAAGTCTATTGACAGGGATCCACCATGACCCAGCACCCCTTGCAACTGCCAGTCTGGCAGCGGCATCTGAACTTGCCCTTACAGCAAACTGCAAGCACCTACCTGGATAATTCCTGAAAGAAAGGCGAGAGTCACAGCTACCTGTACCCTCTTGGTGTCCCTAGCATCAAAATCAGGGGAATCGGTAACATTAGTAGAGTTAGAGCCTACAGGTATCATTTCATCAGGCACTTCTCTCACAGCAACGCCACCAACCATCATACTAATCACAGCAAAGGTACCTGAAATAAGAGGGAGAGGAAAATAACCGGTCAAAATTCTTGTGCCTTTTTTTTTTTTGTTTAGGACTGCTTCTTATTAAGAGACATGTGGAATTAAACTACCTAGATATTGTATTTTTTAGTCCCAAAATCTGGTCCAGTACTCAGCACCATTTAGATGGTAAACATATGTCTCTACAGTAAGTAAGCACCATAATTTTCTCCTAGCTCAATTTTGTTATGCAAATTAAAGATTCACCCTGGCCACACAGACAGCTGACTGCAGCAATGAAATTACAGTTCAGGAGTTCACAGCACACATTTCTAGATCTAGTCTGGTAAAAGATGCTCTTCTATTCCCTCCTAAGTAGGATGGATAAATCAACAATAACAAATTCTGCTAATGTTTAACATATTCGAGTTTCTCCTATTCACTTAAATTTGAATTTAAGGAAAACGACTTCACTTTCTATTTCTCCAATTTTATTTTTTACAACTTTATTAAATACATGTGCACACACACAGACTTTCAGTTATCCATACAGATATACCTATTGATATGTGCTTGGAGGTTCCAAAAAACGTATATAGAAAGACAGGATAAAATGAAGAATATAGGCCAAATACTGGGGGAACAGCTGCCAGCAAAGCATAGGCTAAACCTAGAAAACAGACACAAATACGTATGTTAGACAAACAACAAAAATAAACCACCTGAAGCAAAAGGATTTAAGCTGATTAAAATTGACATCACCTAGGAAATGTAGCGACATATCACAGGTTTAAAAAACAAGAAGTCTTGTAGGGAATACTCTTTAATATGTATAATACTGTAGGGTAGTGCCTAGAACCTTGATGGTTTGAGTCAGGAAACCAGAAGTGTATAATTATAGGCACTGCAGGTGTGTGTGTGTTTGTGCATACATTTGTGCACCCCTACATTCATTGCTTTGCCTTTGTGGCTGGAAGTACTTCTTAACAGCCAACACTTTTTGTTGCTTCTGTCTTCATCTGTCAAAGAATGTAATAAAAGACACCCAAAACCCTACAACCAGTGGGACACATTTGATTTTTCTCCTCTTTTTCTAATCAAACATGATCTTCATGGTAATCTATGACTGATTAAACACTTCCCTCCTCACCTCAGAATGAGTGGGATGAAATAACAGTTCATGTTTCCACCAAATATGCTCCAAAATGTAAAATAAACAGAGAAGCATTGATTACAATCTGTAAAGTCATAGAGCTTATACAGTCTGGTATTCTTCCCAAAAACGAAGTCCTTTTTGTTATGTTCCTTTTTGTCTGGTTCCATGCAGTGGAAGTATGATCCACACCGTTCCTATTCACAGGTGGGGCTGGTAACATGGCAATGGAGCAAATTACAAAAGGAAGCAAAGGTTCACCCACCAAGGAGAAATAGTGATACCCAAAAACACTTCTTCCTGTTATTTTATTTTTAAATTGAGATACAAAGCATCAGGCTACCATGAAAGAACAAAACCAAGAAGGGATCTTCTGTGTCACCCAAGCACTCTTGTGCAGTTTAATAGCTCAGCCTTGCTCACGCACTAAGCAATGTCTAAGTTCAGACCAAGAATTCATATTCCTATCAAAACTGGACTGATGATGTCGTTATATTTGCTTGCAGCAAAGAGCTCTTTATTAAGTACTTCTGAAACTCACCCTACATACAACCTCCAGCCCCGGGGCCACCTCTTATTCCCAGAGTATCAAAAGAACACTCTGTACTATAACAGCCTGGCCTGTAATACGGTGATGAACTTAAAAGTACAAGGGACCAAAACTGAAATCAGTGGTTTCAAAAGCAGAAGGGTGGGTCTATGTGAAAATCCTGATCTGAATACCCTTTTATTCCTTTTCATTTTCATTTGTACTGGCATTTTTAAAGGCTGTCAGTGCCAAGGAAATAAAGAGATATTGACATGACAGGAGTTCACAGCTCAAACACCCTGGTCATCATAGTTCTGCCTGGAATGATTCCAAGGCTACTCTGAACTCATGCTTGCTATAATTATATCCATTCCAGAAAAATAAAAGTTCAACTTTTGCCTTCTTAGAATCTGAAAGATTAGGGGAAGTTCAAGGGCATGTCTGCAATCACCAAAGAAAAGAATAATGTTTAGTTTAAAACAAAGTCACAAAATTAAGTATAAAGTTCACTGCTGACCACTTAAATTTTCAAGTCCTTATCTGGTCATCACATAAACTGTGTTTCTGTATAAAATTGGAAATGTTTGTGTCTAGTACATGACAGATTTGCCTTACTTTACTTATCAGTTTAAGATAAGCTGATGTCTGTATTTGTGTAAGAAAAACCATATCCTTAAGTACAAGAAATTGCACAAAGCCAGGAAGATGCAGAAATAAAGAAGTCAATTGCACAGACTAATTTAGGATATTCCATTGTTTTAATGGGTTATCGCCTATTAAAATCTAGGCTTCTCAGATTTACAGATTTGTTCTTCAGACCTGCCTCAGCCTAAAGGGGAACGAGAGAGGTGGAAATAAGAAATAAACCAAAATGCAAGTGAACTTGCATATGCTTAATTACATTACCCTTATCATGAGGACTCCACTGGACTGGGTTCTGCTCAAATTCAAGAATTCTCTCTACTCCAAGACCTCCTGGGGAAATCTACTGGGACTGTGGTAGCTGTTGTGAAGCTGCCATTCCCAGAGCAGTGATGACACCCTATAATGATACTGCTTTAAAAATGCTGTCCCCTTCTAACCTCGGAGCAGTTCTGAAACTGCTGATAGTAAGGTGTGAGGATGAACAAAAGATTCTGTTGGTCCAGTCACCAAGGGCTGAACAGAAGAGTGAACACTGGTTTTCTCATCTTCCACAGAGCCTGCTCCTGCTTCAGGGTTAGGCTCCACTTGGGGTGAATCTTCCAAGTAATTTAATAGAAATTCCACAGATTTGCAGTCTTGTTATAAAAGACACTTTTGACTTATTTCCACCATGTAAATCATTTCCCACTAGTTTGGGAAGTCAGCTTAAACTGGTGACTTTTAGCCTTAAGAGGGATCAATCTCTGATTTCTCGCATGTTCCTCTCCAGTTGAATTTAGTTTGGTTACTTTGCAACAGTTGCTCTCCTGAAACATTATGGCTACTAGATACTGCTACCCTCTGTAGCAAATTTGCTAAAACTTTAAGGGTGAGGAGATCAGAAAGTAACTTCAGGAAAGGTTTAGACATGCCCTGAAACCGTGAAAAGTTGTTTTTTCATCATGAGGTGTTCGTATTGATCAGAAAGGCACGTTTCTTTCAGGGTTTGCTGCATATCACTGACTTGCAGTTTTAAGGGAATCATCATTAGGGGCTGGTCTGCAGAATGCTGTGCTGGTCTCCAGGCACCCCACTGAAATACACATCCTATTCTCATGAGCACTCTTCAGGAATCCAAGCACACAGGAAAAGCACAGAAGAGGATAAATAAATCCAGAGAGACACTCACCTTGAGGAAGCTGCATAACCCCAGTGCTTATACCTGAGATAATGTCTCCTAATAAGTATTCCTTCACTGGGTAACGGGGAAGCCATTTTAAAATTGGTATGCAACTGTAAAGATGAGACTTGGCTTTCTTAGAAGAACAACTGAAAAAACAAAGCAGAAATAAAAAAAGTTAGACACAAGCAGGGGAAAAATGGGTCGAAAAAATAGTCTTTCATCCCTATACAGGGAAACAGCTCCATTATGGCAGGCTCAGACCCCTGATGACAGTAATTTCTGGACAAAGTTTAAGCCCAAACAACTATGACTCCAGTTAATTTAGCCCTTTATCACATGTTGGTTGCTGTTCACACACTTTATGGAACTGGAGAAGAGAATCACCGTCTTGTGAGGCTGGAGGTCAGTGGGAAGTGAAACTGTTCAAGTCCACGCACTACTGAGCAGTCACACAACACTTTTTGCTGAGATCATTCCTAGTAACAATCCTCTGAGGACAAATTTCTTTCTGACAATGGTTTTCATTCATAAAAGTATGTTGTGATGCTTTTTCCTATTTTTATTTATTATTTCTGTGCTTTATACTGTTTTGATTATAACATTTTATATTACTGTGGGTTTTTGAAAAAATATTTTACTAATGCTTGTTATTCTCACTGGTACTGACAGGCTAACTTTAAGGTTATTTGAGAACATAACCCTTCTTTGCCCTGAAAAGAAAAGCACTGAATCCAGTAACACCAATCCTTGTGTCTCTTAGCAGTTATTAACCTTTTGAAACCCTGACTCATGACAAAGGAATAGAGCCAGGAAATATATCTCTCTATCCAGTACTGCCATGAATCATACTTTGATTGTACTGTGGTAAGAAAGTATAACCTTGGGCAAAAAATATAACACAGGGATCATATAAATGCTCTTCTGTGTAGGGGAACCGCAAGAGAACTCCAGAGATTTGTTAACATTTCTGAATTCTCACGGGATTACATCGCTTGAGATGAAGCTTATCGCTTGTGAAGAAGCTTATTGCTACAAGTAAGGAACTAGAGTCATCCACACTTCTCTATGTTTAGAGAAGCACAAGAAGTTCAGGAGGATTTTGATCCACATATTTTTTTTATTCAGGATAGATCACTTTTTTGTGGAATTAGGTTCCATTACCATTAGAACGGTCATTTCATTAACCAAAACAAATCTCCAAATGTCAAATCAGGTGAACAGGAATATTTTACAGATGAACACTTAGACAGAAATCATTTGTTGTCCTGCAGAACAAGCTTCTACCAAGAAATTGAATCAACTCTGCAAATGAAGCACGGATAAACATGCAGGCATTGAGAGCTTAACTAGAATAAGTTTTTCTTCACTATTCTCTGGTACCACAGAGCACAAGTTGCACAGTTAAAAACACTTCCTGTCTAACCAGATGATACTTAGATTGCAAGGTATTTTTTTAAAAGCTACAAAATGCCTCTATTAAATCCTTATTAGATTAATAATTTAGATTTCTACACAGCTGTCACACATTTCCATTCTTCTTCCCTGAAAGGATCATGTGAAGCATAAATGTGGCCGTAAGTATTTCCATGTAAAAAGGACAGATATTTTTCTGGGTCTTAAGAATTCATGTCACATGATTTGACTAATACTTCACATTCCTATGCTGCATATTCTTCCTTTGCACATTGATGAAGGCAATTAAACTAATTTATCCAACATTTTGTAATCTTGATATATAGTAACATATAAAATCCCATACGCAGCTTTGTCAGTCTTGCTGAACAATCAAAGTAAAACAAGTGCTTTTATCTTTTAGGTTTCTTTGAAGAGATTACCAGCTATGTGCATGAATCAATTAAGAATTAGAATATTTCTGATCAATAGAAGAACGATAAGAAACAAAACCATACCGACAAGAATGTGCAATCTTCTGCCTTAAAGTCTGAGGTGTTCTCTCTCGCCTGTGCAGCAGTCCTTGCAAGAGCTCCTCGTTACAGATTGGTCTCTGCACACAGTACCTCTGGGTTTGCTCAAGAGATGCTTCATGTTCTTGAGAATGGTCCATAATTGACATCACGGAGCAGGAGCCAAGGAATAACAGTCCCACAGTCTCCACTGAAAAATCTGATTGTAAACAAAATAAGTTTGGTTACTTTTTTAACCTCAGATTTGGCATTTCCTTTGAAAGAATGTATTTTGACAAGCTAGAGGCAATACCTGTGAATGCAGTTTAAAAGCACTAATTAGTCTGCAACAGGAGTTGCAGGAGTAAATAGACCACATTCACAATCTTTACTCTATGGAAGCCATTAATCTATGCTTCTCATAGGCAAAGAAAGCTTTTGCATTCGTTACTCTGTAAATAACTGCAGAAACAAAATTGGAAGGTTATATACATGCTTATCTGGATTTTGCTTCCTTGGTTTTTAAAGGAAACATCAGTGTTGAAGGGAGATTACTTTATTGCTGAGTTACTTCCTGCTTACTCACAAACTGTCACGTCTATCTCCAAAGACAGAACTCCAATTTCAACACTGAGAAAGTCACTTCTTTCTTCCAGAGAGCTAGTTGCTTCCTGCATCTATCCACCTGCTTTCTCCTCCCTCTGTTTCACATGCTTCTTTTCCCAGAAAGCATCTCAAGGATGCACAATTCACTACTTTCAAAAAGTTATTCTTTCAATAGATGTGACACTTACCGCTAAAACAGGAGTCAGGAGACGTACACAATTTTAAAACTAGCCAGAAGGTTTGTAAACATCTATTTGTCTGTCTGATTCAGTACCATAAATATCTTAATATGTTCAGGAGATATTCTGTTAATTTCTTTGCCCTGTGTTGGCTGCTTCCAGAAACGTGGGGCAAGAAACACAACTCCAGATTCCGAGCCAAACGAGAGCTGCATCGCTGAGCGGAGATGTTGGCTGGCACTACATTTGATGACAGAACGTGAGCACAACGGGAAACGGAGCCGTAATTGTGAACAAGGCCCTTGGGCTCCGGTCCAGCAAGTCACTTAAGCATGTGTTTGCCTTCAACCAAGGCAGCTAACCCAGAGGTGTTTAGTTTTCAGCTGTACATCAATATTTTCTGAGAAAAGGGTCACCACGCACAAATTAAACAAATCGCTACCTAAGCACTCAAGACAAACCTAACCACAGCTGGCCCCATACCCTGACTCAGCAAATACAGTCTGCCTGCCAGCAAAATACCAATATTGCTTCCTAAGCCTTCAGTTTGACAAAGGTGCTGGAATTTTCCACCCAGGGCTTGCTATCCTCTGCCTTCCAGGACAGACATGACCCAGCATCTCTTCAGTTCTCGTTCTTTCGTAAGCAATTTCCTTTACATGGTCAGTCACAAAAGGCTATTTTTACCAAAATTATAATTTTCTCTTTATAGCACATTCAAGATGTACTTCAGCTTTATCATGTGAAATAAGGTACCTAAAATTTGATATGATACCGCTCTTACAAACAAAGGTATTATCAGAGCGAGCTTGTTGCTTTTGTACTCCTGAAACACCTTTTAAGATTCTTTTACTTCTTTCCATAGTTTCAATTCACTGAAAAGTCTGAAAGACATTTTGTGAACTATTTCCTCATTCAGCATATTGTAACTCTCAGCATTATGATTTCCCCCCTGCCTGTAGATTTTGAGCCAGTCAATATTAGAATAGGATTGTTCTACCAGCAGTTCCCATCTGAGCAGCCCTCCGTTTGGTTTGTTGGGGTTTTTTTCCTCTCACCTCCACATTATTACATGTATCTTATTTCATATTTACAGCAATGCCGTCCATACTAAGATGTATGTTTGGCCACTAACATCTGCAGCACTTTTTTTCCACGTCAATGTCTACCTACCCACAAATCCCACTTCCTACTTCACATCTTGCCCTTTTACAGAGAGTGAGCTACCCATGAATCTTAGTGTATTAACTTCTGGCCAGCAAAACTGAAATTTTAACTGCCCTCATGTCTGCTGGAAGGGCAATGCAGCAGGGCACAAGCAATCCAGGAGCCTTCTGAGGTGCACTGATGATAGCTTCCTGCCACAGGTGATGGAGGAGCTAACGAGAAGACATGCTCTGCTGGACCTGTTACTTAGAAACAAGGAAGAACTGGTCAGGAGTATGAAGCCTGGGGACAACCTCAGCTGCAGTGACCGTGAGATGGTGGAGTTCAGGATCCTGAGAGAAACAAGACATACAGCAGGCTTACAACCCCAGACTTCAGGACAGCTGACTTTGGCCTGTTCAGGGACCTGCTTAGAAGAATCTCACAGGATTTGGTCCTGAAGAGAAGAAGGGTCTAGGCTGCTTTTCAAGGATTAGCCCCTCCAGACTCAAGAATGATCCACCCCAAGTAACAGGAATTCAAGCAAGAGTGGTAGGAGGCCTATATAGATGAACAAGGAGCTCCTGATAAAACTCATAGGTGAAAAAGAAGCATATAAGAGGTGCCAGCAAGGACAGATGACACGGGAAGAATACAGAGGCACACTGAGCCTGCAGGGGCTGGGTTAGGAAAGTCAAAGTCCACCTGCAGCTGAAGGACATCATGGAGAAGGACATCAATGGCAATGAGAGGGGCTTCTACAGCTATATCAGCAGCAAGAGGAAGATCACAGAAAATGTGGGCCCTCTACCAAGAAGGTGACAAACGACATGGTGAAAAATGACCTTTGCCTCAGTCTTTATCAGTAAGATCAGGCTTCAGCAATTCCAGATGCTGAGACCAGTGGGAAAGTCTGGAGCAAGAAAAACGTAAATCAGTGGAAAAGGTAAATGAACATTTAAACAGAGTGAATGTACACAAGTCCATGGGACCTGATAGGACATGCCCACAAGGGCTGACAGAGCTGGCCAGTGTCATTGCAAGGCCACTCTCAATTATCTTTGAAGGTCATGGCAACTGGGGAGTTTCCTAACAACTGGAAGAAAGTCTATGTCACTCCCACTTTCGGGATGGGTAAGAAGAAGGACTTAGGAAACTGCAGGCTGGCCAGCCTCACCATGATATTTGGGAAGGTGATAGAACAAGTAACCCTGGAAATAATTTTCAAACATGTTAAAGACAAGGTGATTGAGAGTAGTCAGCATGGATTTATGAAGGAAAAAATCACCAACTTGATAGTGTTGGATGATAAGATGGCTGGTTTTGTGGAAAAGGGAACGTCAGTGATATTCTTTATTTGTTTTTTTCAAGGCTTTGTCTCCCATAGCATCCTCAAAGGCAAGCTGATGTATGTGTTAGCTAAACAGTGAGGTGGACAGAAAACTGGCTGAATTGCCAGGCTCAAAGCGTTGTGATTAGCAGCATGAAGTCCAGCTGGAGGTCAGTCACTACTGCAGTACCCCAAATGTTGATACATTGGGCTAATATCATTTAATATATGCATTAATGACCCTGATGATAGGACAGATCGCACCTTTAACAAGCTTAGAGATGACACAAAACTGAAGAGAGTGGTTAATGCACCAGATGGTTATGCTGTCATTCAGAAGTACCTTGACGGGCTGGAAATATGAGCAGACAAGAACCTCATGAAGTTCAACATAAGGAAGCACAAAGTCCTGCACTCTTCCTGGAAGAAATAGCTCCATGCAACAGTAAATGCTGGGGATTCAATCAGTGGAAAGGTGATGTGCAGAAAAAGACCTGTGGGTCCTGATGGACAAAAAATTTGAACATAACCCAGCAATGTGTCTTTCTGGCAAAGAAGGCCAGAATCCATCCTAGGCTGGATTACGCAGAACATAGCCAGCAGGTTGGGGGAGGTGACCCTTCCCCTCTCCGCAGCAGTGGCGAGGCACCTGTAGAGTGCTGTGTCCAGTTGTGGGTTCCCCAGTGCAAGAAAGGCATGGGCATCCTGACAGCATCTAGCAAAGGGCCACAAAGATGATAAAAAAGTGGAGCACTTGACATATGAGGAGTGGCTGAAAAAGTTGGGGTTGTTCAGCTTGGAGTGGGGAACGTTGCAGGGAAATTGTATCAATGGGTATAAAGACCTGATGCAGCAGAGAGGCACAAACTGAAATACAATTCTGTGAATTCATAATGATCCCTTATGACATTATTCACATAGGATGTATCTTTTCTGATAATTAATTGGTGTGTTCTGGCAACATCAGCCTAATTTACAAATTAAGAAGCAATTTTAATCAATCTTAAACAGAAAACCCATTCAAACAAATCAGAACAAACAAAACCTACAGCTGAGTGCAAAAGGCACAAACCAAATGAGTTCAGAGGCTTGGTTTTGGCCAAACTGTTCCAATAAAGTGAGAATATAATATCAAAACATCTCTAAGGTTTTAAAAACATGCACCCCTTATTCCTCTTCCAAAAGACACAGGCCCCTGCCAACCCCAAACAATTCAGGTCTTGATTGGGATACATACTTTCCATATTCGACTTTGTTAAGCTTCAAGTAGAATGATTAATATTTGGAAGAGGCACACAAGTTTGTAATGTTAAATCCAGACATGGAGAGGTCTTAAGATCTCCAGTGTCTTTCTCATTTCTGCACACATGCCCAGGCTCTTCCAGGTACTGTGAGCATGCACAGAACAAACAGAAATTCAGTCCTGCCTCTGTTTGTCATGGTGAAATAAATGATATAGATGCATTTGACTAACTGAATAGGGCTCAACTGTAAATCAGTAATCCAGATGATGACAAGCGCTAGTTTGAAATACTACCAGAGGTCACAACCCAAGTTTCACCATCACTCAGTCTGAAGGTTTTTAAACTGTAAATGGAGCAATTCTGAATCTGTTTGAACAAGGAAGTTATATGAGAATACAAATAGAGAATATATATGAGAATATATTATAATATAATGAATCATGAGAACCATCTAATACAGAAGTAAACTTGCTGGAGGATACGATAGGATCTTGTGTTTAGCTATGGTTCACAGTGGATACTATAATGTAGAGAACAAATCACATGCTGTTAAAAGAGGTCCTAAATCTACACCAAAACTATAGCCAGATGCATCATTTTCTGTATTCCATGTCATGTCATCAACTTCATCTTAACAGCCCTACATAAACATGTTCTCTGATGACCATTTTGAATACTAAATTGTAGATAATACAATAAAGATAAAAGTCTTTAA